AGTAAAGAGAGTTTCAGGCAAGGTCACCTTTCTGTGGCGGAAGGTGTGGTCTATCAAGCAATGCTCGCCAGCCAGTGCTGACCAGGTAACTCCATATTGACTGGTTCCTAGGAGGGATGGAAACTAAACTTCGGTTAGGTATTAAGCCTTGGTTTGCTGATGTGGGGCTTAGCACAAGTGACTCCATTTTGTGTCTGTTGTTTCTGTATTAACAACAAAAATCGGTCCTTCAAATAAGAAATCTATCAGTGTTTTTGTTCCTGGCTTCTGTGGTGGGAGACCTGTTTGGAGAGGGCAGTCCTCTGGGGAAAGGGTGGGTGAGTAGCATTCCTTTCCGAAGACTGAAGCCTGTGGGCACCCATTTCCTCAGAGTAGGTGTTTACCTAGGAACACCCAGAATGACTGTGAAAATACGGACAGCTGCAGGGAGCACTAAGTTTCCCTTAAGTGTGCCTGAGCTTGCCTCTTGGAACCCAGTTAGGGTGTCCATGAAGCCAGGCATGCTCTTCTGGGTTCAGTCTTGCTTTGTGCCAGTGACCAAGCGGTCACAGAGATTTGCTGAGACTCCCTGTCCCGAGAAACCTTTCTCATTCCCTCAGGCTCCAATCTCTCTCCCCAGCAGCCTGCAGTAGAAAGCCTCAGGTCAGGGGCCCTGTGGGCCTGGGTGGCCCTGAGTGGCCCTGAGTGGCCTGCTTTGTGTCCATAATCAGAACATACCTCCTGCCTGGCCCCCTGGCTGCAGGGTTGCTTCTCCTTGCCCCCACCCCCCCGATCCCCCATCTTCTCTCCTTTCCTCTTCCCCAAGCCCTCATCTCCTGTCAAGGGCATGGGCAGGCCAAGTGGAGGTGGTTTAGCAGCAATAGTAGGAGCAGAGGTCTTCCCAGACAAGCTGCCCCTCTCCTTGGGCTCTTGGATGGGAGTGGAGGAGCTGGGGAGATGATGTGATCCCTTGGAAATGGGTCTGAATCATCAGGACTCCCCAGCACCGCTGAGAAGGAAGGATTGAGGAGGACAAAGGCCTCCTTCGGGGAGGTGGGAAGCCTAGGCTGGTGGGAATAGGGGGCCAAGAGAACCTGTCCCCTAAGGTGCATGGATAGTCTCTGGGTCCTGAGAAGCATCAGCATCTCCCCCAACCCCGGTCGCTGCACAGCAGCCACAGGAAACGTAGATGCTCTTGGTTCCCCTGTGCCCAACTTTCCCCTCCCCATTTAGGACAAGCAGGAGAGGTGGGTGGGCAGGGGAGGAGCTGAGAAGTCACCAGAGGAAACTGTGGTCAACTCAGCACTGTCCTACTCTTTCTCTTCTCTCTCTCTCTGCACATTGTGTCTCTGCAAACTCTCATTTCCTGGGTGTTGGTTTTACCCCTCTCTCCCGGAAGGATGGTCTAGAGACATGACAGGGTCAGAGGGTCATTTGGGTCCTGACCACAGTCCTAAGTCCCATTCGGTCTCATAGGAGTCACATCCAGGTCTAGGTGGTGGGCCAGTGATGTGTTTCCGCCCTGGGAGGTTTTGTGGGCACCGGAGCGGGAAGAGGGGCGGGGTGGGGGATGGGAGGTGCAGGGAGGGGCCGGGGGGAAGGTGGGGAGAGGAGAGCTGAGAGCAAAGGGGGTAGAGCGTGCTGGGCAGCGGCCCCCAGGGGCGCTGGTGGGAGGGGGTGCGGCTGGCTCAGGTGGGCGGAAGCAGCCTGGGGCGCTGGGGCCACTGCCGGTACCTCAGTCCCTACTACCCCCAACCTCCCGCGGCTTGCCAAATGTCACCTGAGACAACAAGTAGTTGAAAGAATCTAACGTAGTTTCCTTTAATGAACTCCAGGGCTTTGAGAATCAAGAAAATGTTGATGTTTATACATAATCTACAAAGAAAGGAGAAGAAAAAAACGAAGAAACCTGGTGTGGTATGTGCAATTCTAGGCGCAGCCCTTGCAGAGATCCGTTGACCGACGTCAAGTTCAGGGCTTCACAGAGATGTGAGCGCATCACCAGGACTGTGGCTTCGATGGTGGCTGCATTTGCTGCCATCTGATGACACCCGGATGGAACCCTTGGGCGCATCGGTCATCGGGGCTGCCCAGGGGCCGCAGGGGGGCTGAGTCAGGCCCCGGAAGTGGGTGCGTTTTTCTAATCAGCGGGCCTAGGAGCATGCTTTTTTGTAATCTCTGCATGGGAAGGGGGTTTGGGGCGGGGGGAACATCTGTCTAACCTCCAGAGAGGAGACAGATGTGCCTACGGCAGACACTCGTTGGAGCTGAGTCCAAGTACTCCACTCCAGTTCTTTATTTTTAACTCACTGTATTTTTTATGAGGAAGTATTTTAAAATAAATTGCAGATATCCTGACATTTCACCCTTAAATAATTCAGTATGCAGCTCTGAAGAGAAGAAGAAAGAACTTCTTGCTACATAGCAAATTAACATGATCATAGCCAATGTAATTAAAAATAATTTCTTGCGGCGCCTGGGTGGCTCAGTCGGTTAAGCTTCCAGACTCCTGATTTCGGCTCAGGTCATGATCTCACCGTTTGTGAGTTCGAGCCCCGCATTGGGGGCTGACAGTGGGGACCCTGCTTGGGATCCTCTCTCTCCCTCTCTGTCTGCCCCTCCCCTGCTCTCTCATTCTCTCTCTCAAAATAAATAAATAAATAAATAAATAAACAAATAAAAATAAAACACAACCCCCTCTCCCCCATTTCTTAGTAGCTTGTACTACCCAGTCTGTATTCAGATTTCTCCAGTATGTTCAGCATTTCCATTATGAATAGAAATTCAGGTCTGCCCAAGCAAGTCGGCTGACTTCACCAGAATTTCCCACGTTGGGCCTGGTATGGATCCTGGTCCTCAGAGGAGCCCAGAAGGAAGGCTGAGGACTGGGAAACAGAGGTGGATTTCTGAGGAAAAAAAAAAAAAACCCAAACCTGGGAGTCCGAACAGTCCCTGGGTACCAGCATGCTACCAGGCTCTTAGGGGTGAGTGGAGATGAGACAGGGGGCTCCAGCGCCTTCCTGGGACTTTGTGCTCTCTCTAGGGAGCACGTGAGGTGATGGCTACTCCAAAGACTGATGCAACTTCATAGCAAAGTTACTCATTAAGCTGTGAGTTTTTTTCCTTACCACCAAGCAATTTGCACAGTTCTTCATGGACACTGGCTGGGTGTCCCACACGTTACCTCGGCTCTGACAGTATTGACCTGGAGTTAGCATCAGATCCCGCAGGTGAAGGGCTCGCCCCCACTTCAGATGCCAGTCACAGGTCCTGGACTACAAACTGGGGGTTCCCACAACCCCTCTTCAGGCTCGACTAATTTGTAGAGTGGCTCACAGAACTCAGGAAACTTGTTTACTCACTAGATTACTGGTTTATTACAAAGGATTACCAGTCTGTTCCAAAGGATATTAAAGGGTATGAATCAACAGCTGGATGAAGCAATACACAGGTGAGTTTCCAATCGCAGGAGCTTCTGTCCCCGTGGCTTTTGGGCCCGGGACAGCGGCATGTGGGGGCATTCTGGTTCCCCAAGCTGAGGCTCCAGAAGCCCCCTCCTTTCTTGTTGGAGGCTCCGTTACATAAGCACAATTGATTAAATTATTGGCTGTCGGTGATTGATTCAACTTTCAGCCTCTCTCCCCTCCCGGGAAATCAGGGGATGGGATTAGAAGTTCCGACCTTCTAATCATGGTTGGTTTCCCTAGCAACCAGCCCCCTTCCTTTGGGGATTTCCAAATACCACCCTGTTAGCATAAACTCAGAGGTGGTGGCAAACGGCTTGTTATGACTAAAAGGGCACCCATGTCACCCTTATGGCTCTGAAGCCATTTTGGGAACTGAAACCAAGAGACCAGACGTGACAAAAGATACTTCCATTTCAGGAGCAAATGAGGCTTTGATCACTCAGGAAATTCCAAGGATTTCGGCAGCGGTGAACAGGAACCATGAATAAAGATCACAATACACATTTATTATAAATTGCAATATCACATCCATCCTTGCTGGGATCCTTCTGCCACTCTCTGATGCCCACTAGTGTCCTGCTTCTTCCATCCCTCCCCAGCCACCTCCTGTGCAACTTTGCTCCTACACCAGTGCTCCTTCCCTCAGCCACCACTGGAATCTTCCGCAGGGGCCCCTGGACTCGAAGCTGTGTTCAAGAGCTGCTGGCTCCTTTGTGTCCCATGGTGCTCTGTCCTCGGCAGCCCTAGTTGGGCACCAGAAAGTGTCTGTATTGTGCTCATCAGCTTAGCCTCCTGTGGAAGGGGCTTCAGAACTGATCTTTATCCCCTTCTTTTTCCAGAGAAAGAGACAGAAGTTCAGAGAGGGACGGTGACTTGCACCAGCTTATGCGGGGCTGAGCCCAGAAAACTAATCAGGGTCTCGTTTCTAAGCCTTGCTCACCTGTGTCCCTCCACTCACTGGGCTTATGTGCAGCGCCTGTCCCTGCTCAGAACAGTACCCACGGGGGCTCCTGGGCATCCGGGGGCCAACTAGAGAACGGAGGATAAAGAAAAGCAATGGTGGAGGGGCGCCTGGGTGGCTCAGTCGGTTGAGTGTCCGACTTTGGCTCGGGTCATGATCTCACAGCTCGTGGGTTCGAGCCCTGCGTTTGGCTCTGTGCTGACAGCTCAGAGCCTGGAGCCTGTTTCGGATTCTGTGTCTCCCTCTCTCTCTGCCCCTCCCCTGCTCACGCTCTGTCTCTCTCTGTCTAAAAAATAAATAAACTTAAAAAGAAGAAGAAGAAGAAGAAGAAGAAGAAAAGCAACGGTGGAGAAAACAGGGCAAAGCAGAAAAGTTGGTCCTCTGGAGATCAAATGTGCATATCCAGGACAGTTTTAGAATTGGAAGAAAACTTAGGAAACAATATATATTCACGTAATTTTATAATTTGCAAGGCTTGTCCACTTGCACTGTTTATTTAAATCCTCACAGCAGTGTGGTGGTAATATGTATCTCCCTACCGGTGAGGAAATGGGTCTGGAGAAGGTCAATGACCAGCTGAAGAAGCAGGTGGCTTAATTGGCATCTGGGCTCCTGAGTTCCAGCAGGGTTTCCAGTGCATTTCCCATCTGCAGCCAGAGCAGGGTGGGGGGGCAGGAACTGCTACAGAATGGCACCAGATTCAGAGGCAGCCCCTTCTTTGTCCCGTTACACCGGGTTGGTCACCACAGCCTCCTGGCAAGGAGGAAGGCTGCCACTTCTTTTTTTTTTTTAACATTTATTTATTTTTGAGACAGAGAGAGACAGAGCATGAACGAGGGAGGGTCAGAGAGAGAGGGAGAATTTGAAACAGAATCTGAAACAGGCTCCAGGCTCTGAGCTGTCAGCACAGAGCCCGACGCGGGGCTCGAACTCACGGACCGCAAGATCATGACCTGAGCCGAAGTCGGACGCTTAACAGACAGCCACCCAGGAGCCCCAGAAGGCTGCCACTTCTGGCCACTGTTGGCCAGAAGAGGGGTGGTAGTGAATATGCATGTGTTCTCAGCCCAGGCTGGTTTCCTCACCCTGATTCTTTCCTGGGTTCCCTTCTGCTCTCCACCAAGAAGACTGGAGTCCATTCCCCGTAGGTTATCTGTCCCTCCAGCCGAGATCAGCTCTGAGTTGCCTCTGCTGTGTAACAGGTGGGTCCTCTTTCTACTCTACCCCACTCCCTCTGAAGCTCGGCCTTTGTTCAGTGTCCTCCGTATGCCTGATGCTTTATGAATATATCATCCTACTTAGAAATGCAAATAGCTTGGTAACGTGGATATTATCAGTTCTCCTTTTTCTACTGATACAGACCTTAAGAATGTTCTCCAAACTCGCTTAGCCAGTAGCGGAGAAGGAAAAAGGATCCTTGTGATGAAGTGGCAGAAGGTTTAGCAGCATTGCCACCTGCAGTGATGTGGCACGTAGAAAAAATACCTAATGAACTGGGTTGGTGTAGCCGAGATTTCTGGTGGAAGTGTTGAGGATGCTGCCTGGTTTCTTCTTGTGGCTTATTGGAAAATGTGAGATCAGGGACGTAAACTATAGGCAGGGTTATTCAACACGAAGGAGCCAGAACCTGATGGCTTTGGAAATTCTCGGTATCTTTGGACAGTAATGAGGCTAAAATGAAATCCAGAGTGCTGTCAGGAAAATAGGGTCTAAAGATGAAACCAAAGGTGACTGTGAAATCCCTTGTTGAGACCTTAGGAAGAGAAAGGTAATGCCCTCGAAGGAGCTTGACGGCATGTGCCTCACAGATTCTTTCAGTGAAACTAGAGGGCTTCTAAAGAGTTAAAAGACATTTTCCCTCAGCTTCTCAGCAAAAGCCCAAGGTATGGAAGAGACATTATCTTCACAAATGAAGACATTTGTGAGTGTGGCTTTTGTCTGATTGAGTGGATTTCAATAAGATTCACAGGAGACCCACACATTTTTAAAAGAAAATGCTATTCACAAAACACTACCAGTGTGGACTGAAAGGACCAGAGTATAAAACTAAGAAAAAAGACCCTTGTAGACCCTTGTGCCCCCCAGATTCTATTGGAAAGAAGCAGTTGAGAAAACTCTGAAGCTGTACATATAGACTGCCTTCCTGGAAGGTGAAGGATGCCTCAGAGGGGAAAGCAAGACCCCAGGGGGTGGAGCCAAGACCCATGATCAATTATTCCCAGGTACATGTAGCCCAGAGTCCAGATCATGGAATTTCCAACATCTGCCCAGCTGAACTCCAGTTTTTCTGTGGATCAGTGCTCCATTTGCCTCCAGTCTCCCCCTCTTTTGACCAGGGATGTCTCTCGGTGCTATCCCAGGCCCGTATCACCATTGTATGTTGGGTTTGCATCTGGCAGATAACTTGTCTCTTCAGCCCATGGGTCCTCATACTGAAAACTGAGGAGCTGTATGCCAGGGACTGTCCTTGAGGTTCCTCTGCCATACCTGGTCCTGATTTATACGACAGTCTTCTGGACCTAACGTTGATGCCACAATTGGGTGAGATTTGCGGAGGCCTTTGGGGGAGGGGATGTGTGTGTGTATCTTTTTCATTTTTACCTTTCAACTCTTTTCACCCATGAGTGTATTTTGAATGTGGGAGAAATGTCAATAATTTGTGGCCAGAGTATATATGGTGTGGTTCTGTATCCCTTCCTTCAAGAGATGGAGTCCAATCTCTCTCCCTTTGAGTGTGGGCTGGCCCCAGTGACCAGCTTCTAATGAATAGAATGGCAGAAGTAACGATGTATGACTTCAGGGACTAGGTTATGAAAGGCACCATGACTTCCTCCTCAGTCTTTCTTGGATCGGTCACTCTGTGATCTCCCACATCATGAAGTAAGGCTCACATGGTGGGAAACTGAGGCCTCATCTTGACAACCGTGTGGGTGAGCCATCCCCATTGGGTGAGCCATCTTGGAAGTGGTCCAAGATGTCAAGTGTTCCTATGACTCCAGTTCTCGCCGATGTCCTGACTGCAACTGCATGTGAGATTCTGAATCAGGAGCACCCAGTTAAGATGTTCCCAGATTTCTGACTCCCCCCAGAGCTGTCTTTGAGATCATAAACATGTCATTTGTAGTCTTATGCTACTGAGTTTTTGGGTAACTGATTACACAGCATCAAATGAGTTGGGAGGCAAACAACATGATTTTGTTACTGGTTGTTGGAAACCAAGGGAACAAAGCATTTCAAGAAGGGGGTATGGTGGGTCACATCCAGCACAGTTCATCTTTCCAATATGATGAGTTTTGAGGACTGGCCTCTGGAGTTAGCAATGTGGAAGTCACTGGACACTGTGGCAAGATGTTGCAGGGAGTGGCACAAGGGCCCGATTGGAAGGGGTTCAAGAGACAACAAGAAGAGATATATTGGCGGCTGAGAGTGTTTCCACTCCTTTTATGGTTGGGTTGTAAAGGGCAATAGAATGTGGAGGAGTAGGAAGAGATGCTATGGGGTCAAGAGAGGGTTTTTAAATATGTCATAGCCCATTTTGTTTTTATTTATTAAAAAAATTTTAATGTTTATTTTTGAGAGAGAGAGAGGGAGAGAGAGAGAGAGAATGTACACAGGGGTGGGGCAGAGAGAGAGAGAGAGAGAGAGGCCCAGAATCCGAAGCAGGCTCCAGGCTCTGAGCTGTCAGCACAGAGCCCCATGTGGGGCTTGAACCCACAGACCAATAGGTCATGACCTGAGCTGAAGTCGGACGCTTAACAGACTGAGCCACCCAGGCGCCCTTAAGCCCGTTTATATTCTGACTGTTGTGACATGTGAGAGGGCAAAGAACTTCTGGAGTGATTTTCTTGTGTAGACAAGAGAAAATGGGATGGGTCTTATGTGGAGAGGTTGGCCTGCATTGGGAACAGAGAGAAGAGAGTGAGCCTGGGGTAAAGAAGGGGGATGATTGACAGGTGCAGTGGGACCAAATAGGCCTCATTGTTTTTAGTGAGTTTGGGTGCAAGGACACCAGCAGAGGGTGAAGAGTGGGCACTGGAGTTTGAGGGACCAGAGGATGGCATGGAATAGAGGCCTAGGGTGGAGACCATGTGGTTACAGGGAGACACTTCAGCACGATAAGTTGCTTTTCTCCGGCCACATTCAGCCTTAGGACAAGCTGCAGGATGGAGAAATGGAAAGCTGGATACAACCAGGGCTGGAGGTATGCCAGGAGAGTTCAATGACAGCAGAGGGGGAAGAGGAACGGAAACTCTGTGCCAAAGAGTGATTGTGAGTATAGGCCATGGAATCCAAGGGAAAGGAAGGCATGAGTGAGGTAAGGGAGAGGGACGAGCTGGCAGGACTAGAGGGTCAGGGATCCCAGTGGTGTTGAAGAGACACCATGATCAGTTTGGCTTGAGCTAGAGAGACAGGTGGGGGCTGGCAGGTGGGTGCTCAGAGTTGAAACCAAGGAAGGGAGCCGCTATTCATGCTGACCATCTGAATGGGAGGGTGAGGCAGAGAAGGGGACGAGATCATTGCAGGAGAGGAGATCAGGAACCAGGTGGCCAGGGATTTGGAAGGATCATCTATGAGTCCAAATGGGCCTCAGCTCACCAAGCATTGTGACAGTAGCCATGGGAAGTGACAGTGAGCCAGGGGTTAAGACCGGTGAGAAGCAGGAGGCTCCCGATTATATAGAGATGCCACACTGATGGACGTAGTCTATGGTACAGTCCGGTGGCAGGAAATCAGATTGTGGGGCTGCTTTAGGGAGGATAAAAAGGTAGGAAGCGGCAGTGAGGAGTGAAAAGGACCACCCCCTCCCCCGCCCCGGCCTAGTGGTGAAGGAGAGTGAAATGCCACCGTGGGCCAGAATGATAGAGAGAGCAGTGTTCTCCTAGGGGGCGCAGATTTCCGTGAAAGTAGGAAGGTGATGTTCAGAGAGGTTGAGCTCACAAGGGCTCATGTTTCAGAGGGCAGAGCAAAAAGATGTACGAATCTGGGGAAGAGTGGGAAATGGGGCTCATCTGATGAATTCATAAGGTCTTACTGAGATGCCATCCTGGGTGATGAGGGTGGACCAGGGAGCCCCGGGCTTTTGGGACTAGGGTGGGCAGGGAAGGAAGGAATGAAGCCGCAGGTCTGGGGGTCCCAGCACTGGCTGTGATGGAGGGTGGAGAAGAGGCCAGGAGTCTTTACAGGAGCAAGTGGAGATCTGGGATCTCGCTCTTTCCTGCCCAGGGTGGTAGGAGCTGGAAGGGGTGATTGGATGGAAAATTTGAGGCCCCTCTGCTCCTGCTGAAGAGATGGGCAAGCTGTGTGAGGGAAGTGGTGATAAATGGGCAAGAATTGCATAAATCCATCCTCAAGGATGAAGGGAGAGCTCCATGGAAGTCTTAAAGCTGGGTAACATTTGGACGACTTTAATGGACCAGAGAAACGTGGGGGAGGGAGACATAAGAAGCAAGTCTTTTTTTTACCTTAGAAACCCAGGAAGCCTTAGGAATCGGAGGCGGGGGGAACCTCAGGACGCAGACTACAAGCTGGGGACTGGGGTTGAGAAGCAGTCTGGCTCCTAGCTTCTCTGCCCCCCCGTGAGACAGAATGAGTGGGTCAGCTGCCCACATCCTTTCTCCCTCCTCGCTCTCTCTCTCTCACCCGACAGAGAACCCACAGGTTAGTCTCTGACGAGGGTCTGTCACAGAGACGCCCTCCCAGGGCACCAGGCACCTTGGAGAAGGACACTGTGTTCCACCTGGGGCCCGAGTGAGTGAAAACGGAAGCTGCTTTGCCACAGCTGGTGCCTAGAACCAGGCTTATATCCCCAGGAGGACAGTTCAAAGCACCTTTTTGGAGACACTGAGCTGTCAGAAAAAAACGAAGCGGTGCTTGTCTTAGTCCGCTTAGTGGCTGAGACAAAAATGCCACGGACCGAGGGGCATCAGCAGCTCTTATTCCTCACAGTTCTGGAGGCTGGAAAGTCCGAGGCCAAGTTGCTGGCAGATTGTGTGTCTGGTGAGACCTTCCTGGTTCCTATAGGGCTGTCCCCTCACCGCGTCGTCACAGAGTAGAAGGAGCCAGGGAGCTTTGTAAGGGCAGAATCCCATTTGTGAGGGCTCCTCCCTCATCACCTTGGGAGTTGGGATTTGAACATATAAATGGAGGGGGGCACATAACAGACCGTAACAACACCCTTGCCAAATCAACGTAGAGTCCACAAATCTCTGTAACACACACAGGGCCTCCAAGCTTTTAAATACCGGTGCTCTGCCAAGAAGCAGCAGAGGCTTCCAGAAAGTTCTGAGGAAAGACAGCGGTCAACGAAAGGAGAAAACGAAAGATAGAAAAAGGTATTTGGGGGAAACAGAAAACAGACAAGGCTTAAAAAAATAAAACACCACAACCCTCAAAAGGTAAAACTTTAACACTGCCCGAGAAAAAATGGCGTCACCAAAGCAAACACGCATGTTGTAAAGGAACATTCGGAGCACAAATAGACTCTTTAGACATTTTAAGGTGTGAGAGCATAAACGGTAAACCTTTGAATAGAAGAACCGGAATGCAACCTTGAGAAACTTTCCCAGAAAGTAGGAATAAAGAAAAATAGAGGAAGGACAGGAGAGAAAAGATAAATTTAGAGGCTCAGTCTGGGAAGTCCGACACCGAGATAGTAAGTGTCAGAGACACAGCAGTCCTATGAGGGGCAGTGCCTCGGGTCAGACCAGGGTGGTCCCCACTGTGGAGCCTCCCACTCAGCTTGTGCAGGACAAGGGGGGCGACTCCTCTCCAGAGCCTGTGGCCATCTTGGTGGTTTCAAGGGCAGTAAGCGTGGTACATAGTGATGTGGTGATGGTGACTAGGGTGGCTGAACTTGGCAGAGCAGAGGCCCCCACCTCCTGTGCAGTAAAAATGCACAGAGGTGTTATTGAGAAAGGACGGATAAGGGGGAACAATCTAGGAGGTGGAGACCAAAGGCAGGACGCCAGTTAGGTGACTGAAAGAGTGGCCTGGGTACAGGTGCCAGGTGTTGAGGATTTGCAAAGGGGGAGGAAGAGGAGGAAGAGGCAGAAGCCACAGAGAGAAGCAGAACAGGTTGGCAGAGTGTGGCTGAGCAAACAGGGATGGAGAGAGAAATGCTGGGGGTGACCTGGGATCCTGGCTGAGCTGTGGGGCCACAGACGGGGGGGAAGGGGAGGAGGAGGAGGAGGAGGAGGAGGGAGAGGAGGGGGAAGGAGAGGAGGAGGGGAGGAGGAAGAGGGGGAAGGACAAGAGGAGGAGGAGGAGGAGGCAGGGAGCAGGAGGATGAGGGGGAGGCCTAGGGGAGAAGATGGTGGGGTCAGAGTGGCCCGCCGTGGTGGCTCCAGTTTGGTGGACAGCCACTGCACTGGTCTTCGGCTCCCATCCCTGGATGGTGCTGGCCCAGATGCCAGCTGTGTGTGAGCAAGCCATGGGCCTGGACCTTGGGAGGAGGCCAGGCTGAGAAATCCTCAACACTGGAGTGAGGGGTGTAGCCAAGGGTGTTGGATCAAGTTCTGGGGGACTTCCGCCTTTTCTTTGCAAGGAGCGAAGGGTTCAGAGGTCAGGGAGGCGCCCCTGGGGAGCCTGGGGGATACTGGCCATCCTTCTTGGGCCCTGAGGTCTGGAGTCTGGACCGAGCTGGGTGCATCAGAGACCTCCCTCTGTGTTGCGCGTGTCGACTCCTTAAGGCCCTAACATGGGAGGGGCGAAGAAATACAGGAAGTGACTCAAACCCACTCTTTGAGCCTGTTGCCCTCTCCCCACAGGCTGTCCCCCCTTCAGCAAGCCTGCGCTCTGCCTGATGCGTCCCTGTCCCCACACCTGTCCCTCAGCCCCACCTACCTTTGCCTTGTGCATCCCCTTCTCCTTGGACGTGACCCTCCCTCCTGTGCATACCCTCCCTCTGTCACCGCTTGGGAAGGGGCTGTGCCCTGGGTTTGGGCAGGCATTCCTGGAAGGGCAGGCAGTGGGAGGGATTTCCTGGTTGGACAGGTCAGTGATACTGAATCAGAGGGGGAGAGGGGTAGGGGAAGGAAAGGAGGAGGAGAAGAGGGGAGGAGAAAACAGGCGGAAACATGTGGACAAAGCATCTGAGTTTTGCAAAGACAAAGGTGATCCTGTGGTGAGCAGGCAGTCAGTGAGGGTCTAATTTGGACAGCCCTGCTGGGGATCATTTTTCTTGCCTCTGTGTTCACTGGCTGATTCCCTGTCTGACCATCTGTCCAGGGACGGAAGCCCCTCCCTGCTTCATTCTCTCCCAAGCCCAACCCAAACCCACTCACCAGACAAGCAGGGCTGACAACACCACGCTCTTGGCCAGAAGGAGTCCACAGAGCACGGAGACCAGAGCGCCCGGGGCTGCAGGGTGACAGTGGAGGGTGCAGTTTTGTTGCCTGGAGAACAGAAAACAGAGGGGAGGGGAGCCGGTTGGGGTGGCAGCTGTCTGCCGTGGGTCCCTGAGCCAGGGCCGTGTGCGTGAGGGTCCCACCCTTGAACTCACTGTGAAGGGGCAGTGATGGCAGAGGAAGTCCTGGGGGCCTCTCTGGTTCTTCCAGTGGAGGACACACAGCTCTGGGTCTGTGATGAGATCAGGTCACGGGAAGCCTGGGTGGCCTGCGTGGAGGCGGAAGCTGTCAGAGAAAGAAAAGGAATCTGAGTTAGCTGGAGGGACAGCACATCTGTTCTAGCTGGCAGGAAAGCTGGAACGGGGACCTGGGCTGAACTGGGAACAGAAGCTCAGAGCCTGGGAAAAAACCAATTCTGGGGTCGGGACTGGGCTATGAAGTCCCATGGCTTAAGACTAGACAGATCTGTGGTTTAGGCTCTCTTCAGTGCCTGTGGAAGTGTTCTTGGCTCCAGGAAGAGCACTGGAATGGGAGTCAGGAGGCCGGGGCTTCTCTCCAAGCATGTCTACACGTTTGGAAGGGCACTGTCTAGCTCCAAGCCTCCCCAAGTGGGGAAACAGTCACTGTCTTTAAGTGGCTCTCATCTCTGACATCCCTTCCCATTCTCATACTTCTGGCGCTATTAGGGGGAAGGGGCTCCTCCCCGGGGAACTTTCAGACTGCTTTCCCACCCCTGTCCTTCCTGGTTCTGCCGCAGAACTCTGGGTCCCTCTGCAGACCCCACTGCCTCAATGATCTGGGTAAGTACATTTTATGGGCCCCCCTCTTGATTCTGAAACTTTTGCGAGCTCCCTGTCCCCTACTTCCACTGCCCTGCCTTCCCAGTAAGACCCCAGACCTACCAGTGCTCAGAGCTCTTGATGGAGGCTGGTGGGGGGCCATCTCTGGAAAGGTGATGGGGGCTATTAAGGATGAAGAGAGAATAATGACTACTGGGGATGGGTGAGGCCCAGAAGGGAAACTAGTGCTGTCAGCCCCAATGCTGTGACAGGAAATGGGGACTCTCAGTGTCCTCAGCTAGGTCTATATACCCATCCACCCAGGATCCATGAAGGGAACAGCTGAGGGAAGGGCTGGGAGAGGCATGGGGGAGAGGGTACCTGATGTTGGGACATCCCATGGCCCAGGGGCTTCCCTGGAGAGAGTCCCAGGTCAATGGACATGTGGCCATGACCCTGTCCCACAAGGGCACTCTCTCTGAGGCCGCCCAGAGTGACTACTGGGAGCAACCCGTGTGCCCAACCTAGAAGAAGTTCTCATGACACTCAGGGAAAATTCTAGTCCTGAGCTACAGCGTGTGATCTGTGGGTGGATGCTGGTCCACAAATTATTTATAACCTGCCTGCACAAGGTAAATATAGAAATCAGGAGTAAGGATCTTGGAATTTATCAATCTGACATTGCCTCAAGGTCCAAGCATGTGATTAGTAAACCGGTCTGGTGGAACAGGATGTCAATCAGTTTAGGTACTGGCAAACTGTCACGGAGAGTAACACATGGGGCAGGCTGCGAAGGTTCGTTGCTCGACTATAACCCAAAAGTGTATCAAGACCTGAAAAAGTTATTTTTATAAATTTTTATAATCATTGACATTTTCAATCTTTCCGTTATGAATTTATTTTTAAAAATATTTACTTATTTTGGGGAGAGCACAATCAGGGGAGGGGCAGAGAGAGAGAGAGACAGAGGATCCAAAGTGGGATCCATTCTGGCGGGCTGACGAGCCCGATCGGGGGCTCGAACCCACGACCCATGAGATCATGACCTGAGCTGAAGTCAGAAGCTCAACCGACTGAGCCACTCAGGTGCCCCTATCCATTTTTTCTTTTAAATTAGAGTTTAACATGATTAGCTAATGTAGAGTAGTGATTAGTTAATTCTAGTACTAAATTAACAGAGAGCAAAACAAAGTCACTGAGCATTGTGTCAAGAAAAGCCCCATCTTTTCGGGATGTAGCAGTAATAATAAACCAAATGGTGATAGCAGAATTAATTCCAAAGATGCTTTTCCTTCTGAGATCATTCCAAAGGGTTTGCATTGGTTATGTCTGAACATGGAATCCTTCACTGTGGTAAAGCAGAACCCTGTCCACTTCCTAATCTCAGGAGCCCGTGAGTGTCACCCCACATGGCCAGAGGGGATTTGCAGATGTGATTAAGGTTAAGGACCTTGAAGTGGAGAGATATTCTGGGCGAACCTGAGCTAATGATTAGTATTTAAGAGCAGAGAATGTTTCCCAGCTGTAGTCAGAGAGCAGTGCAGCTTGAAAACGGCTTCTGGCTTTAAAGACAGAGGAAGGGGGCCACAAGCCAAGGAATGTGTGGAAGCGGCTAGAAGCTGGGAAAGCTCTCAGTTATGCAGCCTGTGAGAAAATGGGACTCTGGTCTTATAGCTACAAGGAACTGAATTCTGTCCAAGACCCGAATGCGTAAGAAGTAGATTCTAAGAGCCTCCAGAAAGGAATACAGCCTGCTGCTGATACCTTGATTTTAGCCCAGTGAGACCCATGCCGGACTCTCGATCTATAGAACCGTGAAGTCATAAATTCGTGTGGTTTTAAGCCACTACATTTGTGGAAATTTGTGATGACAGCAACAGGAAACTATGGCACTCATAAATAGCATGAGGTTTGTAGTTCTAATGAATGGTGAGGCACTCAAACCCACTGAGTTCATTGTTGAGGTTCAGTGAAGAGGCTAAGGAACAAGTACATCATGAAAGCAAGTGACATTTACAAAACATTAAACCACAAGTTCAAAATGAGCTATTTGTTTTTAAAAGAGTCCTGAATTACAACTTTCTTCAAAGCAGTCAGTATTTCACCTAGTAACTCTAGAGTTCTGTGGGCTTCTTATAAAGTAACGCTTTGTGTTGCTAAGACAAAATGTCTACCAACAGGTGTCAAAACATCATTGAAAGACTGTAACAGAGATGTCTGCTCTACCTTGTTGAGCTAGTCTGTGGCAAAGAAGGGAAATTAAATATCACTTTATTGACACATTAGCTCAACATACTCAGGAATTGGCTAATGAGGAGGAAGACCAACTCCTGGGACAAGTAAAGTTAGCAAGGTGTTTTTCACGGCAACTTGAGTAAAATGCACGCACATCGCAAACATAGTTATTCTTTTTAGACTACGTGCAATTTGAACATGATGATAGGAAGGTATTCCTCTGTATCATTTCGTTTCATTGTCAAAAACACAACTAGCCCTGAGCTGAATAGAACTATGAAGGATTTTATTAATGACCAGTGGTTTGGGGCTCCAGTTTCGCGTCCGAGTATGTTCTGATAGCTGCTATGTGACAGGAAAACACGCGGGAGCAGTCCTTCAGATGAAGGAGCCTTGCACCAGAGTGTAAGCCAGTGCACCACCTCCTTCAAATTCTTGCTCTGAGAAAATATCAGCTGAGCTGCACGCGTGCCTACCAAAGTGGGAAAAATCGTGAATTACATAAAGATGAACGCGTTGAATTTGAAATCGTTCTCTTTATTATGTGATCATGTGGAAACCCCTCAGAGTTGTTATTGTATGCCAGGTTGCACTGATTCATTACTGAGGGTGACAGTTCTGTTGAGAATGTTTGAGCTACGAAAAGGACTCCTACTATCTTGGCAAGATAGAAACCAGGTCAGTACTAACTTTTTAAAGATGGGAATCACATGGTCAGGCTTGGTTATATCACAGCTTTGAGGCTATTCCGTGCCAGGGAAGGACGCAACATATTTTTCAACGGCAAATGAGATATAAGCGCCAAAACAAAAGAGGCTTAGGAGGATAGTTTCTATAAACTTTCATGACATGTTCTTAATTCGGTAACAATTATCAGCAAAATAGGTGATCTTGTCTGCAAAAGTGCTTGTAGAGAAACCTGGATAGTTTGATGGAATGTTTTGCATTTTATTGTCTGTCCAAAGAAGATACATGATAGGAAATTCATAGAACCAGAGACCATTTTTTCATCAAAAGGTATTTCAAATGTAAACAGAACTCTATAAAATAAAATTTTGGAACTAGCCCCTGATGAAGGATCGAGGATGCATTTTGAAAATACAGCATCGCTCGCTTCCTTTTGTAAAAATTAAAAATAAAAATATTGAGCTTGTAGGAATTGATTTAGAATTCCTTCTTGGATTTCAGCTATAATGTTAACAACAACATCCATCACCCACATGCATACTTTCAATAATCAATGGGAACCGTTTTTATAACTGAACTTTTTTCCCCCTTATGTTTGTTCTGATTGTCTTTGTTGAAAAGTAATTTTATGTCTGTAAAATCAAATCAGCATTTTGGGCTTGTGCTTTGTATGTGTGTGTTTTTCTCTGGTTTAATTTTTCTAGTAATTCATTTTTATTGTGTTTTACCAGAAGATAGTCATTGATGGATTGGAGATGTTTTGAAAAGGTCCCCACCACTGTCTTAACAAGACTTGGGCTGCCATAACAAAGTGTCACAGCCTGGGTGGTTTGGAAACAACAGAAATTTATTTCTTACCCTGGAAGCTGGGAGTCTGAGGTCAGGGTACCAGTGTGGTGGGGTTCTGGAGAGTTCCCTCTGCAGGCTATCATTTTACATGGCAGAAAGAGGAGGAGAGAGCTTGCTGGAGATCTCTTTGGTAAGGGCACTAATTCCACTCCTAGGGGCCCCACCCTCATGACCTCATCACCTCCCAGAGGCCCCACCTCCAAATACCATCACATTGTAGGTTAGGATTTCAACCCATGACTTTGTGGAGGCCACAAACATTCAGTCCGTTGCAACCACAGATGCTTTGAGAAGCTCTGATTCAGACTCATGTTGGCCAACTTGTTTGTAAAGGGCCAGAGAGGAACTACTTTAGGCTTGTGGGCCATATGGTCTCTGTTGGAACAGCTGCTCCTGTAGCATGAAAATGGCCTTAAATCATATATAAACATATGGGCATGGCTGTGTTCCAAAAAACCCTTTATTTGTGGACACTGACATTTGAATTTCCTGTAATTTTTGTGTGACACAAAATATTATTTTTCTTCGACTTTTCCCCCCCGACCATTTAAAAATCATCCTTAGCTTTCAGACCAGAGTTTGCTGACCCCTGATCTGGGCCAGGAAGAATAGACAGACCAATGTGATACCAATATGGTGGGGCGGGGGGTGGTTTGTGGCCAGGGCCACACATTTACTGAACACCTACTATGTGCCAGGTACAGGTGCCTTCTCTAAGAATGCCAGGCAGTCTCGGGCTCCCCTGTGGCCAGGTCATATGAGCTCAGGGTCAGAATGCTCCCATGACCTGTTTGGGCACCTTTGACGAGGTTTGTAAATCATCAAGACAGTGAGTGAGGGGTGTGTGTGTGTGTGTGTGTGTGTGTGTGTAGATGTATTCAAGTCCCTGGGACACCTGTTCCCAACAACCTTCCCAGGAGATCTGAATGGGGGGGGGGCAGCCTGGCTTCATGACTAAGAAACTAGGAGGCACCCAAAGGGAGCCAGGGGACCCCTAGGAAGAGGCTTACCTGGAGACACCGTCAGATAGAACCTTATGGACTTAGAGACAGAGTTGTCAGAAGCATGGTAAATTCTACACCAGTAGTGTCCTGAATCTTCCTCCTTCAGCCCAGTCATGGTGACAATGAAGAGGCCGGTGCTAGGGTTGTCCCAGATTGAGAATCGAGAGGCCTGAGCCAGCCTGCGGGGACCGGAGCTGGTGATTAACCTGGTGCACTTGAACGCCGATAGCTCCTTACACCAGCTCTTCCTCTCGTAGGGCCAGCCCTTGGGGGGGTACTGGCATGTCACAGAAAGCGTCTGCCCCGCCACTCGGTGAAGTGGCTGTGCCTCTGGCACAGCCCACGAGCCTGGAGAGGAGGCAGCAGGTCAGGGCCACACCAGGAACTGCTCCTCCAGCAGCCCCGGGCCCAGAGCACTTGCTCCGGAGCCCATGGTCCTGTAGTCCCTGTATCACCCTCGCCTCTCCTCCCCAGGCTCTCGCCTTCCTCCTCACCTGGGATCAACAGTGACAGGAGCAGCAGGGGTGGGAGCGGGGCTCTCTGGACCATGTGGCCGTTTCTTCTTGTGCTGGTGGCAGGGGACATGGGGGACGCTGGGGAGAGGGAACCTGGAGCTGGTCTGATTCTCCTCAGCTTTCCCAGCACCTCCGAGATAGATAAAATGAGAAAGGCCAAGGGCAGCTCGGGGAGTGGGAGACCCAGGGAGCGCTGACCTGTCCGCCACAGGCAAGCGGAGGCCAACGGTGGCAGTTGTAAATCCGGACCAGGAGGGAACAGCCCTACGTGGCGCACAGCTCCTGGGTGTCCAGAGAGGCTGCTTCTCTCCTCTGTGCCCCACTGCCCCTTCCCCCTCAGGGCCTGCCCTTGGGGGAGGAGCTGGGACAGCCAGGAGGAAGCTGCGGTCACGGGCTGTCCACTCTCCTCCCTCTGTGCACTGCCTCTTCTTCGCAAGACCCTGGCTTTGCCCCTCTCTTCAGGGCGAGCCACGCTGAAGGTGGGTGACCAGCTCAGGGGCACTTGGAGGTCTGTGCAAGACTCCACTAAACCCCACTGGCCCTGGGAGTCGTCAGAAACTTCAAGCCCGGTCCTGCCTGGTGGGTCACTGACATGTTTCCTCCCTGGGAGGCTTGGTGGGTGCTGGAGGGGAGAGGGGAGGGGTAAGAAAGTATAGGGAGAGTCCCTGGCAAAGGAAGGGAGAGTGGAGCTGGGGGCAAAGAGAGCCCGGCTGGGTGGAGGGACGGGTCAATGGGGGATGGAACACAGGAGCCTGGACCACCAGTCTCCTGTGAATCCTCGACTCCTGCTTGTGGGCACTAGAGCGCTGTTTGTGTCATTGATGCGTAGATAGATGCAGGGCTCCAGCATCTTTAGGGAACGACTTTTAAAAAATGACGCGGGCGCCTGGGTGGCTTAGTCAATTAAGCATCGGACTCTTGATTTCGGCTCAGGTCACGATCTCACGGTTCGTGAGTCTGAGCCCCTGCCTCAGGGTCTGTGCTGAGAGAGAGGGTTCTCTCTCCCTTCCTTTTTGCCCCTTCCATGCACTCTTGCTCTCTCTCTCTCTCTCTCTCAAAATAAATAAATAAGCTTTAAAAATGATGCAGTTTACAAAGAGGTTTTATATGAAACATACAAATGTTGGGAGAAAGAAGGGATCGAGAGAGAGAGAGAGAGAGAGAGAGAGATCAGGACCCACAGCCCTGTGCTAACATGTAACTCCACATGCGACCACCAGGGAACTCTACTCAGAGCTCATGCCTGAAGAGGGAATTTGAATGTATTGAGGGTGTTAATTCCAAGTCCCCTGCTCCCCTGCACCCCACCCCCCACTCCTGCTCTCCTCTCTGCCTGGGCACAGAGCCCTGCTCCTGCAGTGAGAGGGGGCAGAGACTGAGGATAAGGGTGAAGGGGCAGAAAGAGGACGGGCTTGGGAGGCACCTGACTCTCTTTCCTAGAAACGACCAGGGAAAAGCAGGATGGGGTTGTGGCACCGAAAGGACTGCTCAAGACAATGCCCACTACCTGTTTGCACCCATCAGCGCACCTAGGGTGTTCGTGTGTGCTTTCTCCTAATTCCACAGTGGGCTTGGCAGGGAGGTGTGCTTTGTTTCCCCCCCACGTGGGGAAACTGAGGCCCAGATGGGTCAGTCTGACCTGCTCAAAGTCACGTGACGATGTAAAGATGTAACCAGACCAGCTTCCTGACTTCTGACGGGGACTTTCTGTTGAAGTCTGGCCTGGGGACAGGGCAGGAAACCAAAGCGTACACCCTTGCAGAGGCAAGCTCCTGGCAGTTCGTTTCCTGGCGTTCAGCTGGGCTCAGTGTTTCCTCTCTTAACCTAATTACAGACAAAATGCGGGGGTGGAGGGCACCCTTTTGAGGGGGAGGAAGGAGGCTCTGGCCCCGGCGGGCGTAGATGTGTGTCAACTTGTGTGAGGGTGTGCAGCCACTGGTTCCCACACCAGTGTCCCCTTTGTCTGGTCGCTGCTGACCCCTGGGAAGGGACGCCTCCTCCTTGCAGTCCCCCAAGATCACTCTTTGCCCACATACCATTATGTCTAGGTGCCTCCAGTTTGGGGTTGGCTCTGAGCTGTTCTCTGCCGAGTCAACATGGGTCCGTGGTGCCCAAGGGAAGTTTTTGAGGAAACTTCTAAAGCTCTAAAAGTCTCAGTTTTTTCCTTTCTTAAACAGTTAACAATGGATCACTGATATGATTATTCTGGGAATAAATGATTAAGCCCTTCCATTTATAGAAGTGCCTGTTACATGGTATTAATGAATGTCTGCCATCATTAGTAATCAACATTCACAATATCATGTTTCCTTGACTTTTAATTATATATATATTTAATATATAATTCGATGTCTCTATATATATAGACATCAAATAGCAGTATAGCAAACTTCTAAAAGGAAATAAAAGGGGCGCCTGGGTGGCGCAGTCGGTTAAGCGTCCGACTTCAGCCAGGTCACGATCTCGCGGTCCGTGAGTTCGAGCCCCGCGTCGGGCTCTGGGCTGATGGCTCAGAGCCTGGAGCCTGTTTCCGATTCTGTGTCTCCCTCTCTTTCTGCCCCTCGCCCGTTCATGCTCTGTCTCTCTGTCCCAAAAATAAATAAACGTTGAAAAAAAAAATTAAAAAAAAAATAAATAAAAGGAAATAAAAATAAAAGTTATGTCATTTAGAGTAGAACGTTCTTCTTTTAAATATATTTTTTTAAATTTTATTTTTTGAGAGAGAGAGACAGACAGAGAGAGCAAGCAGGGGAGGGGCAGAGAGAGAGGAAGAGAGAGCATCCCAAGCAGGCTCCACGCTGTCAGCATAGAGCCTGGTGCGGGGCTTGAACTCATAAACTGTGAGATCACGACCTGAGCCGAAAGCAAGAGTCAGATGCTTAAGTGACTGAGCCAGCCAGGCCCCCCTAGAGTAGAACTTGCTAATCATGGCCCCAATGCCAGAAACGATATAGGGCAAAATGCTGGGTCATCCTATATACAAATTAATACTTGGACATTATAAAAAGATATGGCAAATAACATTTAAAGGCAAATCACAACTCTGAGTTAAGGTTTCCTTCCTAATTGGCAGATACAGGGTTATTCGAGTTCATATAAAAAAAGTTTTTTAAATAATAAGAGAAAATGAATATTTCAATAGAAAAAAGGAGTGAGGTTATGAGCAAGTACTTCCTTACAGAAGAAATACAAATGAACCACGTTAAGGAAAATCTATTCAAAGAGGACATTGTTAAGACAAGTGCCAAACTACTCTTCTCCTCAGAGTGACAAAAGTTAAGAGCAATGATGACAACCAGGGTTGGGGGAATTTTAGGGAAAAAACAATCACCTATTCTGCTGGGCAAACATACTGATACCACCTTTCTGAAAGACAGTGTGGGCGGATTAATTAAAATCCATTTTGAAAAAGAAGTCATCGTGACTCAGTTCTACATCTAGGCACAGAAACCGGGCACAGTGGCTGTTGCAGTATTATTTTGTTTTGAAAATTCATCAAAAGAATGCACATACATATCTTCCAAACTTGTAGCTCTAAAAATTGTAGGTTTATAAACTCATATTAATAACAATGCATCAGTTTTATGCCCCAACAGTCTACACCCCAATCCTTTTCTTCCTAGAGAGAACTTTGTTTTTTAGTTAATTAATTAATTAATTAAATGTCTTATTTATTTTTGAGGGAACGTGGGGAGGGAGGGGCAAAGAGGGGGACAGAGGATCCCAAGTGGGCTCCGTGCTGACAGCAGAGAGCCTGATGTGAGGCTTGAACTCACAAGCCACGAGGTCATGACCTGAGCCAAAGTCAGATGCTCAACTGACTGAGCTACCCAGGTGTTCCCTTAGGGAGTCATTTTGAAGTATTTTTCATATTTACCCTGTTACTGATATTTCTCTATTAGACAGGGGTAGGTAGTATACATGAAATGTGCCCTGTGGAAGAATGAGGGATCCTCTCTTTCCCATCATGCTCCTGTCGGTCCCTTCCCTCACCTTTATTCTCCCAGTAGTCAAATAGAGTTACCGATAGAATTAATTTTTAGATTTTATATTTTCTGACCATGTACATATATTTTTCAGAGCCCAGTCATGTAGTTTATAATGATTACATTTCCTTTGTGGTACAGCTTTTTACTTTCTGTGAAGTTATTAGTTACCTTATTTTATTATTTTGTTAAAAAATTTTTTTTCATGTTTATTTATTTTTGAGAGAGAGAGAGAGACAGAGTGCGAGCCGGGGAGAGGCAGAGAGAGAGGGGAGACACAGAATCTGAAGCAGGCTCCAGGCTCTGAGCTGTCAGCACAGAGCCCAATGTGGGGCTCGAACTCACAGATTGAGAGATCATGACCTGAGCTGAAGTCAGACGCTTAACCAACTGAACCACCCAGGTGCCCCGACAGTTAATTTTTTTAATGTTTATTTTTGAGAGAGCGAGCAAGGGAGGTGCAGAGAGAAAGGACAGAGGATCCGAAGCAGGCTCTGTGCTGACAGCAGAGTGTCCGATGTGAGGCTGGAACTCATGAGCCGTGAGATCGTGACCTGAGCTGAAGTTGGATGCTCGATGGACTGAGCCACCCAGGCACTTCTGTTGATTGTTAATTTTTTTTAAGGACCAACAAATGGTGGTGGTTAGGGGCACCTGGGTGGCTCACTTGATTGAGTGTTCGACTTTGGCTCTGGCCATGGTCTCTCAGTTTGTGAGTTCGAGCCCTGCATCGGGCTCACTGCTGTCACTGCAGAACCCACCTCAGATCATCTGTCCCTCTCTCTGTCTGTCCCTCCACCACTCACAGGCTCTCTCTCTCAAAAATAAGTAAACATTAAAAAAAATAAAAAAATAAAAGGACTAATAAATGGTGGTGAGACAAATCCATAGAAAGAGGAATTTCCCTAATTATGGCATCCTGGTGATAAAGATGACCACAAACAATGTCAGTATAAAATCATATTTTATAATTGCTTATTTTTTGTGAATACATGTGCAATTAATTTTTGTATGTAGATCTTCTGTCTGGCTAAAATAATAATCTATT